TTAAATTATGTTTATTTGGGTCTTGAATGTTTCAAAATTCATATCAATTTTTTAAGAATTTTTAGTACATTTCAAGCTTTAAATCTTTATAGCTGAATGATGAATTTTTTTAATATTGAATTAAATTCACATATTTTAAACTCTAATGCCTTTTTTAACCTTAATTTTTTACTTTACATACTTTTAAAAATTGATAAATTAAGGAGAAAATTCTTTGATATCAGTTACAAAAAAATAAATAAATGTCTTATTTAAATTAGTTTAAATGGATTCTAATAAATAAAAGTGAAAAATTTGGAAATTATTAAATAATCAACATTCTTTTTTAATCCTTTAAAAACATACTTTTATGTCAAAGAAAAATGTGAAATTTTTTACGTTGCATCTTTTAAAATTATTCAGGACCTAAATTATATTCTTTACATTTTTGATGTCAATTATTTTCACTACTCTGCTGCATTGTTATTTCCTACTTTCATTTCTTTTTTTATCTCTAGTCGTTTTATGTCTGGCCTGCATTTTCGCAGTTCTGCCCAAAATTCTTCCCTTCACTTTCGGCAAGGAGTTCACCAACTCAGGTGACCTGGTGATGGTCAGCTGCGTGGTGCAGAAGGGCGACACTCCGCTCACGATCGAGTGGCTCTTCCAGGCCGAACGCGTCGACCAGTTCGGCAGCTCCGACTTTCTGATTGCCCACCCTAGCGATAGAATTAGCACGCTGACCATCAGCTCGGTGCGCGCCAGCAACGCGGGCGAGTATGCATGCAAGGCGACCAACCCGGCTGGCAGCTCCAATTTCACGGCGCATCTCAAAATCAATGGCAAGACGTTTGCAGCTGCAAAATCTCTGGATGTTTTGCCATTATTTTTTTCAAATGGAAAAAATGTCAATTTCAGTAAATTCAAAAAAATTAATATTGCTATCAGAAATTTACAAAAATATAATCAGAAGCTTTTAATTTATAAAAAAAAAAAATACTGAAATTTACAAACATTTCTCCCTGATACAAAACCTTGCTTAATCACGCTGACTGGGAAATTCTAGATTTAGAAAAGAATCAACAGACTCTCTTGTGATTTTTAAAATCTCAGACGGTCTCTCTTTTGAACAAAAGCATGGTTGAAAAAACGTCTCTGCAGGTCAATTGGCTCCGGAACTAAAGGTGGGAATAAAACAATGCATTAAACCTTGACCAAATTTACACAATTAATCTGGATTAAACGGGGGTGAGTCAGTTCCGCCAGTGATCGTGCCCTTCTCGTTCGGCGACGTGCCCTCCAACCCCGGCGACACGGTGCAGCTCAGCTGCCTCGCCACCAAGGGCGACGCGCCCTTGGACTTCTCGTGGCAGTTCAATGGGGGCGACGTGGGACACCTGCCGCAGGTGATCACCACCAATTTGGGCGACCGCAACAACATGCTCATGATCTCGCCCGTGTCCGACTTCCATCGTGGCACTTACACGTGCATGGTGCGCAACAAGGCGGCCGCCGCCAACCACTCAGCCACCCTCGTGGTCAACGGCAAGAATTTTTGCAAATTCGAAAAGAAATTTTAAGTGACGGATCTAATTTTGAAAATGAAAATATCACACAATTTCGAACCTTTTCATTAGGGCTGTGAAATTTAATAAATTAAATTTGCTGACATTCTTTTCAATTTAAAATCGTTAAATTTGCGTGATTCTCGCGTCATTAAGTTATTTGACGCCAACTCAAAACTGTCTAAAATTGGTGAAAAACAAAAGGGGATAAAATTGATCTGACAATTAATTGCATATTAAAAGTCTATCATGTAAATCATTCAATATAAAATACTATTTCCAAGAATAATTTTTCTGATCAGTACAAGTCATTTTGAGAACTTTTTCTGTGAATTTCTTTGGGAAAATATTTCACAATAATTTATTGAATAAGGAATCCCTGGGAATTAATGTTAGTTAATTGTGATAATTTGTAACCTAGTTTAACATTTATAATATAAATTTAGCTGCAAATTTACTCATAATACGTAAGAACAGTTTAATTATTTAACTTAATTGTAATTTACTACAAAATCTGGAATATTTAAAAATAAAAATATGAAATTAAAATTTTAAAATATACTAAAAATATTAAATTTACCAGCAAAATACTGGAGGCAAAAAAATATTATTTTATTTTTACTTAAAAGTTTTATTACTTTATTCACTATATTAAAAAATCTTCAACTCTCAAATTATAAGAAATCACGAATTTTTTGGATCATATCACTTGTTGACAGAAAATGGAGAAAAAATTAATATGGTAATGAAATTAATTATAATTTGCTTTTTGTTTTTCAACCTTCAACACGGTTAAAAAAAATTGATACATTTTTCTAATATGCATTGAAATATTGTCTTAAGTCAACTATTTCAAGAACAAAATTTCACAGTCCTGCACTTTCAATTTAATAAATTTTTGGAAAAAAAAATATTTGCACCAAAATATAATTCTTTAGGCAGGAAGATCCGCCACTGAAGTTCACCGCATCTTTCTCTGCATTGTATTTATATATTTTGATCAACATTTTTGCTTTGATTTTTATTTGTGCCTTTATTTGATTTCTTTTAAACTCCCCTTGTGACTTTCTGTTGCTGCCATACAGTTTTTCCGAAGATCTCCCCGTTCAGTTTTGGCGACGAGCCGATTTATTACGGACAGGCGGCGCAGGCCACCTGTCTCGTCACCGAGGGTGACTTGCCCCTCGAAATCACCTGGAGCTTCCAGGGCTCCAACCTGTCCACCCAGATGGGCATTTCCACCACCAAAGTAGGCAGAAAAGCGAGCCTGCTTCTGATTGACCCCACCCTGCCCGGTCACACGGGCAATTACACGTGCACGGCCAAAAACAAGGCCGGCGTCGCCAATCTCACCGCCAAACTTAACATCTACGGTAATTCTGCAAGCGTGGTTTATTTTCTATTTGGGGAGGAGAAATTTTTAATTCGCTCGCTGTGTGTGCATCTCGGTCGGAAAAACGCTAACACATTCACTTGTACTCTATCTCAATGGTATTATCCACCGTCTTCTGCTGCTTCTTCTACTTTGTGTTTTTATTTCATAACAAAAAAATGGCATATTTTGAAGTTCTTTGAATCAGATTGAAAAACTATCTAAAAATAAAATTGTACTAAAACTGTTTTTAAAATTCAACCACGACAATTATTTTTGGTTAAAAAATAAGCTTTTTCCAGTTTTTTCTTTCCTTATTATGAAAAAAATATTCAATCTTGTCTTAACAAGTTTTTAATTTTCCTTGGGATTTTAAAAATCAATTTTAATTTAATAAAATTGTCGTATAAATAAAATGTATTTTTAAATTTAATGCAAAATAAAATTTGCCATTTTTTTTCTTATTTTAATTTACTAAGTACCACATGATTTCTGTAGTTGTAAACAAAACTTTAAACTCTTCAAACTTAAAGCACCGATTATAAATAAAGAGCCACTCGCTAAATCTTCCTTACGTAAATAATTGATATTCTGTAAATTCACAAATCTAGACTAAAGCCAGCGCCGCCGCCTCTTTTGGTTGGTGTTGCAGAAATCCCGTCGCTTTTGCCCCTGTCCTTTTCCTCCGAGTATAGCAGCGAGGGTGATTACGTGCAGCTGACGTGCATTGCCTCCAAGGGTGACCACCCGATTTCGTTCTCGTGGCTGCTGAACGGCGTTGAGGTGGGCGCCGGCGAGGCGTCCACGGTCAACGTCGGCCAGAAGACCAGCCTCTTGATCATTCAGAGCGTCACCTCGAGGCACGCGGGCCTGTACACGTGCAGGGCCGTCAATATCGGTGGGGAGAGCAATCGCTCTGCTGAGCTCCACGTCAAGGGTACGAAATGCACCCCTTTATTGTGGCGCCAGTTCCAAAAATAATAGATTTTTTAAATATTATTTTGCATAATTTCCATTTAGTTGCTCTACCCTTTATACCCCATCTTATAATTTGCTGATTTGTGAACAAATTAGAAAGGGCAAGTTGGAATAATTTTTGGAAAAAAAAAATGAAAGAAATAACTTGCCGTTTCTGACTTTTGAAGTAAATTTTTCATTTATAAAAAGCTGCTGATATCACTTTTTCGTTGCTTATTCAATTCGTGGTTGTTTACTTTCCTTATGTGTTGTGTGTCAAATAACGCATGGGAAGTCACCGGGGGCCGACGCACAGGTGAAATTGGCATGATTTCGGGACACGCGCGAGGACAGTTGTGGTTTTTGTGACAGTCTCAGGCCAGGAAAGAATCTATTTATACGTGTTGTATTGATATATCCAAATATGCACAGAGTTAATCAAATTTTAGCTAAAACGCGTGATTTAATCAAAGAAAGCGGAAGCCAGGGAGCTGAGCGCCTTCCTCTCACTCGTCCCTTCTACCCTCACCCCACAGGCGCTCAGTGTTAGGCGTTAGGAAAGCCATCCTGTCAATCACCCTGTTTTTTCTGTTTTTCGTATTGCTTTCCATGATGTCGATTTTTTTAAACCTAAAATTAATATAAATTTGCAATTTTGGCAACCTCTTTATCTGATATTAGAAGCACAGTGTGTTTGTGTATTTGAGACGACATCATGAATTAACGGCATGCTGGTCACTTTGGTTCTTACGGAGTTTCTTTTTCCCTAGAGTTTTAGTAGGTTTAGTTTTTAATTTGAGTAGCTAGCTCGCATGGTGTGCATGCTTCTTGTAGGCCAACTCTAAATTTCGAAGTTGGATTTTGTCGGTTTGAAAATGAGCAACCGACAAAAACCAATCTTCACCTGATCGTGGACAAAATTCAAATCAAATTAAATTTTTCTTCTTGCCACGATCTTTTCTTTAGCTGTAGCTAAACGCTTTGACAAAATATCGCTCCGTTTTTTCTCAATTGTGAAAAATTAAAGTAAATTTTAATGCATGTGGAGCGATATCGCATGCTTCCTTCAAAACTTGGATCTGAAAGTGCAGCAAAACTAACCTGGTTTTCCAATTCTTCGTCCACAGTGCCTCCAAGGTGGATTCTGGAACCCACCGACAAAGCTTTTGCTCAAGGCAGCAATGCCAAGGTCGAGTGCAAGGCCGACGGTTTCCCCAAGCCTCAAGTTACGTGGAAGAAGGCTGCTGGTAAGTTTACCATGTGACCTTTTAAATGAATCCTTATTTAAATTTTTCTTCTTTCAATTCAGGGGTTGTTCCTGGAGATTACAAAGACTTTAAAGCCAATGACCCGAACGTGAAGGTTGAGGAAGGCACTCTTTCCATCACTAATATCCAAAAGGCAAATGAGGGGTACTACCTCTGTGAGGCTACCAATGGCATCGGCTCTGGTTTGTCTGCAGTCATGCTTATTAGCGTCCAGGGTATGTTAATAATAAAATCTTAAAAATTTCAAGTATTTATCAATAAATTTAATCCAGCTCCTCCGAGTTTTGAAATCAAGCTCCGTAACCAGACTAGCAGGCGTCGAGAGCCGACTGTTCTCCAGTGTGAGGCCAAAGGTGAAAAGCCGATTGGAATTTTGTGGAACATGAACAACAAGAGGCTGGACCCCAAGAGCGACAGCAGGTAAAATATTATTAAAAAAAATTATTAATACAAATTTAAGTTTTTGTTTTAAAATAAATAATAACAGTTTTGATTGTTTTTTTTTTTAATACTTACAATTCTTTTCTAGATATACCATCCGTGAGGAAATTCTGCCCAATGGAGTTCTTTCTGACCTGAGCATCAAGAGGACCGAACGATCTGACTCTGCACTTTTCACATGCGTGGCCACAAACGCCTTTGGCAGTGACGATTCCAGCATCAACTTGATTGTTCAAGGCAAGTATTCAAATTAAAGTTATATTGTAATTAGGGGTAAATATAATTTACTTTATTCTTTAAAAGCAAATTTTTCACTTTTAATGCTAATTTTTAATTAAAATTTCAGAGGTTCCTGAAGCTCCATACGATTTGAAGGTTTTGGATAAGTCTGGCCGTTCAGTGCAGCTGTCTTGGGAACCACCTTACGATGGAAATTCACCCATCAAGAAGTACAGCTTGGAATACAAGATTTCTAAAGGTGACATTTTAAGTAATAATTTAAACAGTTCTAGAGGAAGACTCTTAAATGGACTAAATTTAAGATTTAAAATTTTTTCTTCAATTAATTGAAAAATATTGTTTTTAGGCACATGGGAGTCTGATATTGACCGCGTGATGGTTCCTGGCGAGTCGACCGTGGCTGGAATTTTCAACTTGCGCCCCGCCACCACTTACAGCATCAGGATCGTTGGCGAAAACGAGATTGGTCAGTCGGAGCCCTCGGACACTGTGACAATCATCACCGCCGAAGAAGCTCCGAGCGGCCCACCCACTGACGTCAAGGTTGAGCCCGTAGACCAGAAGACCCTCAAGATCAGCTGGAAGCCCCCAGACAGGGATGAATGGAACGGAGAGATCCTTGGCTACTACGTTGGATACAAACTTTCTTCCTCTGACAAACCATACTTGTTCGAAACTGTCGAATTCAGCAAGGAAGAAGGAAAGGAGCACCACTTGCAGATTGCAGAACTAAAGTACAACCTTATTACTATTTAAATATATTTTACTAAATTCATTTATTTCAGAACCTACACTCAGTATTCGGTAGTTGTCCAAGCCTTCAACAAAGTTGGCGCCGGTCCCATGAGTGAGGAAACTCGCCAGTACACAGCTGAAGGCATTCCAGAGCAGCCTCCCCAGGACACGACTTGCACTACCCTCACCTCGCAGACAATCAGAGTGTCCTGGGTATCTCCATCACTGAGCTCAGCCAATGGCATTCTCAAGGGTTACAAGGTTATTTATGGGCCAAGTGACACTTGGTATGGTACGTATAAAAAATTTGATTAAAAACTGAAACCCAACTGATGTGAATAATTAAACCAGATGAGAATACAAAGGACACCAAAATCACCTCATCCAGCGAGACAATCCTGCATGGCCTGCAAAAGTACACCAACTACAGCATGATGGTTTTGGCTTTCACCTCTGGCGGCGATGGTGTCAAGAGCGTTCCAATCCACTGCCAGACTGAACAAGATGGTAAAATTTTTTACAAAGTTTTTTTTTATAAAAATTATATTTGTTATTTCTTTATCAGCACCTGAACCTCCGTCTGCACTGAAGGCGCTCGTTATGTCCGATAGCTCCATTCTCGTCAGCTGGAAGCCCCCTGAGCAGCCCAATGGAATTGTCACCCAATACACCGTCTATTACAGGGAAGAAGCACCAGTTGAGGGCGAGGCCAAAGACGTATGCAAATATATTGTAATTTGAATTTTTTCAAAATAATCATTCTCCTCTAAGGCAACACCAAAAAGTCAGAAAGTTCCTCCATTCCAAATGAGTTATGAAGCCTCCGGACTAAAGAAAAAGACTGGTTATGAATTTTGGGTCACCGCCTCCACTAATATTGGAGAGGGTCAACAGTCCAAGTCGGTTATTCTCGCTCCCAGCACTAGAGGTAAAAATTAAATTGGGAAAAAATGGCAAAACAATATTTAATAAAAACTTATTTATTAAAGTTCCTGCCAAAGTTGCTTCCTTCGATGACACTTTTACCGCAACATACAAGGAGGATGTGAAACTGCCTTGCTTGGCAGTTGGAATGCCAGCTCCAGACATGCAGTGGAAGGTCAAGGGAACCATCTTCCAGCAGAATGACAGGATGCGCCAGTTGCCAGAAGGATCTCTGCTCATCAAGGAAGTCACTCGAGGAGATGCTGGAGAATATTCTTGCTACGTCGAAAACTCGTTTGGACATGATATAGTCACTCATCAACTGGTTGTCCATGGTAAAAATCTCTTTAAATATTAATAAACATGAAAAATGATTTAATTTTATCATTCCAGCTCCTCCTCACTCGCCTCAAGTTTTATTGACGTCGACCACGACCAGTTCCATCACCATGAAGCTCAAGCCCCATGCAACTGACACTGCTCCCCTCCATGGCTACACCATCCACTATAAGCCCGAGTTCGGAGAGTGGGAAACTGTCCAGGTGGGCAGCCAGACCACCAAATACACCCTGGAGAACTTGTGGTGCGGAACGAGATACCAGATTTATGTCACTGCTTACAATGGGTAAAGAGAGATATTGACATAGAAATCTAAATTTTTATTTATGGAATACATTAATTAGGATTGGAACTGGAGAACGCTCTGACTACCTCAACACTCGCACCAAGGGATCCAAACCTGTCATCCCCGAGGCGACTCAATTCATTGAAGTTTCCACAAACAGCATCACTTTGCACTTGAGTGCCTGGCTGGACGGTGGCTGCCCCATGTTGTACTTCGTGGTCGAACACAAGAAGAAGTAATTTTAGAAATTTAACTCTAAATAGTTGATACACTAAATTTAAATTACCATGCGAATAAATTGTTACTTAAAATTTTAATTTTTAAGGCACCAACAAGAGTGGACTCAGGTGTCCAACAACGTGAAGCCTGGTGGCAACTTTGTGGTGCTTGACCTTGACCCTGCCAACTGGTACCACCTCAGGGTCACCGCTCACAACAATGCCGGTTTCGCAGTTGCTGAGTTTGAGTTTGCCACACTGACCATCACAGGAGGTAAGCATTTTATTTTATAATATTAATAATTTTAAATTAATTTTAAACAATAATTATATTGGCAAAGTCAAGGTTGGACGCGATTTAAATTTTTGCGACTGTGAAATCTCGCAATCTTTTATGATCAAAATCAGAATAATGTTTTATAACAAATTTTTTTTTTAATGTTTGATAATGCCATGGCATGTCAAAATGTAAAGATCTGATTCCTACGGAGATGCTCCCATTTGCAAGATTGCCAATAGTGTGATCCTCACAAGCAAAACGCCAGGCATTCGTTGCATGTCAAAGACATGCCTGGCCGAAAAGATAAAAACCAGCCGACAGCAAGTCAGATACATTTTCTCCGCATCGTCCAGTATGCAAAATGGTGTATGCTGCCTTTTGAATGTCCACTCTAATACGAAAATCATTTCCTAAAAAAAAGAAGCTGAAACTAATAATCGCACAGCAACGCATGACTTGAATGCAAGCTGCACATGAATCTCTATGCCTATTGTCTGGTTTTAAGTTTTCCTTGGGAAAGCATGTGGTAAACTGGGCCGTTTATAGAAAGTAAAGAGTGCAAAGGCGGGCACTTTATCCGTTCCAGCCGAAGAAACGGCTGGTTCTGCGCATCAAGAAAAAACCCGGCAGAAATTATTAAACTATCATCTATTAACAACACATTTTTTAAGGTGTGGTACTTACTAATAACAGTCTCAGGCAAATAAGAATATAAAAAAAGGGAGTTATATAATTTAAAAGATTAAACTTCAATATATTTTTCAATAATCATGAACTGCCACCCTCTGTAACAAATTGATTTTGAAATTAATCTTTAAGAATTAAAAGCCAACCCTCCCAGTATACACCATTTAAGGTGTAAATGGTGTAAATGATAATGACCTGGAACGCTTTAATTGTATAGACTCATATTAATTATGAAATTATAAAAGGGAAGGCTTGCACTTGGGGGGACTCTTTGTATGCGTAATTCAATCAATTAGCACGTGGCCCATGCTGTCTTAGCCTGATTGTGAGACTAACACAAGTACCATGAGAATACTACAGTGGGGCCTAATGACTGTTCCACGACATGTAGAGATCTGGAAATTTGAACCGGAGATTCCAACTTCCAAGCCAAACTGCATCTGCACCTGCTACTAAACTACCTCAGGGCGGTCCTAAAGGTATTAAACAAAAAGCAGACACGTAGGCTTGGTGTTCATGTGCTATTTTTCGCGTGCTGCAGAGTTAGACAAGAGGATTGATGGACCCAAATCCCTGCCGAAAGGACAGCCCTCTTCGCAGCGCTTAAAATTAGATGTAGAAATTGTAGAATTAAATTTACTCTTCTAATCTCACATGCAATTAGCAATTATTATGATATATAAATTAGGATTTACTAACAAGAAATAAATTTTTGCTAACATAATAAATTCTTTAAAAATCAGACAATGCAATTACGATTAATTTTTAAACAAGCAATTAAATTAAAGAGGAGGGAGACTAATCCAATGATTTATAAAAAAAGTGGCCAGACAGATTAAAAGTAGAATATGGAGATAATAAAATCCCAGTTTTGAAAACGGCTGACTCTGATGACCAGGCTGAAGAACCCCTCGATGCTTTCATCGCAAGGAAATTCTGGGGCCACCTTGGGTCAAAGGTCAAACGGGAGGACCTTTCAGTGCACCAGCTTTGATGATTTTTTTTTAGCAATAGGCCAATCAAAATTGAAACGATTATTCGCCTTTCTACAAAAGAAAAAAATACTGAAAATTTTCCTTCCAGATTAAGCATTGATTTTCTTCAATATGATTGCAAATTATCGTAATCGCAGATCGCTTTTGGTACATATCTCGCGTCCAACTTTGCATCAAGGTTTTTATGACAAGGAAAAATTAAAAAGTCAAGAGTTTGCGCGCAGTTCACGTGCTGGTCTGCTCTCTTTTTTGTTCAATTATAACGAGCGGGCGTTTGTTGCAGGAACGATTGCGCCAGCACGTGAACTGCCCAACAAGAAATATGACATTTTGCACTTGCTGCTGAGCAACCCGAAACTGGTCGTGCCCGTGGGGGCGGCCATCCTTGTCATAATCCTCGCCATCATTGTCATTTGTATGCTCCGCGGAAAGGGCGACTCACAAAAAGGTATGTTCTGCTTTTCCAGCCACAATCGCACCCCAACCCGAGCTGCGAGGCAAATTATTCCCATTCAAAATACCCGAGTGGCTCGACCTGGAGGTCTTTGTTGCGTTGGCGGCCACTGTTGTGGTCATTTTTGTCGGTATCATTGTTATCTGCGTGGCCGTGTCACGCAGGTCACGTGGCCCCGAAAACCTTCGACTCAGAGGTAAACGACAAAAATATTACATTATAATAAGAATTAAAATAATAAATAATTTTGAATTTTTAAGATTTTTTTTACAAAAATGATTGAAAAATAATTTTTATCTTGCCTTTAAGTATTTTAAAAATAAAAATTACTATTAAAATCCAATATATGCAGACCAATTTGGACCAAATTAACTATTATATTTTTTTTTTAATTTTTAGAATTATTCAATAAGCAATTAATGATTTTGAGTAAATTTTTTATTGATTATATCAAAAGGTGAAAAAATCAGCTAATTCCCAGGATATCCCTGGGAATAAATGGATGAAATAAAAAAAAAATTATTCTATGGATTGCAGTATTTTATGTTACAAATTACAAAACTAGAGCTTGCAAAACTTCCTCAAGGACTTTTAAAAATCTCCATATCATTGTTAGTAAATCTAAATAACTCTTTTCAAGTCTCATTCTAAACAATTTTTTAACAAAAATTTTGAACTTTTAGATGACGTGGTATACAATCAGGGTGCTGGACCCAACTCAACGATGCGCAAGCAGCATCCTCAGGGTGGATTCACCGACGAGCTTGGCTACATCGCGCCACCCAACCGAAAACTGCCGCCTGTTCCTGGCTCCAACTACAACACGTGCGATCGCATCAAGAGAGGTACAGTAATAAGTAAGAAGTCCTGAAATATTGAGACCGCCAAAGCATGAGTCTCGAGGCACGAACGAGAACACGCTACATGTCGCTTTTTATATCATTAATACATTAAAATGTGTCTCCACGTCTTCACATTTCGTAATGATTTTCGTTCAAAGTATATTTGGTTACACTTTCTTGCTGGGAATGAGGGCTTAAATTTTATAAAAATCAGGACTACTAAATTTAAATAAAAAACTGCTTTGGCTTTAAAACTCTTAAAAAATTGGCAAACTAATATTTAGAAGAAAAAAGTGCTTTGACATCAAAACAATATTTTACAGATTTTGCAGACTATGCAACCGGCTGGTTATTCATGTTCGACCGGTTGCATAATATATTTAAATTGTTTTGTTTTGTTGCTGAACCAGAGACTCATACCCAGCATGGCCACATCAATCTCCTTTGATTATACACATTTTTTCAAGTCCCACCAAATTTAGGCGCGGCCGCTGGTTTACTTGCGTCGACTTGATTTGATAGTTTTTTATTTGGTTTGAGCGCTTGGCTTTGTTCGAACAGGCACAATGAGGAACAGTAACGCCACTTGGGACCCGCGCCGACATATGTACGAGGAGCTGTCCATGAACCCACACCAGGCTCGGAGAATGATGCCTGGCCAACAGCCAGGCTCAGACGAGAACGTCCACCAAAGAGGTGTGTTGGCACACTAAGCTGCCTTGCTCCAGTCTCAAAGCATGGACACTGATTTGGCAAAAGCTTTTCCAAATTTCGCAATCTCGGAAAAACACAATGTTGTTCTCTCACACGGACACCAGGCGATTAGCCAAACAACTAACAAAAGCGAAAAAACTAATTTACAAATCAACACTTAAAGGTTTTAATTGTTATTAATAATCAAAAAGTAAAAATAAAGTTTCGAAAAGTTAGTTTTTTCGCTTCCAACTCTCTTGGTGTTCCTGACTATTTGGCTGTTAAAGTATCAAAATTCTATCAAATAAGGCTTAATTTTAAGAAATCTGAAACTCCCCTCTTTGAGTGAGTAGATGGTGTGTGGAATCAGGTAAGTACTCTCTGTGCAAAGGAAAACTAGCCAAAGTATGCAACCTCTTTGAAAATATCCAATAACATAATTTGGGCAGTTTTCCACCTTTATAAAAAAAAACTGGTTTGGGAAAATGAGATTAAATATAATTATAAAGTTTTCCACATTCTTCTTCTCATCCACACTGTCTTCTTATTTGAGTTAAGGATTTGTTTGCATGACCTTATCACACTACACAAATAGTTGATTGTTCTTTGGAAGTGTGATTTTGTGCCAAATCAAAGCGACCGTTTTCGTTCGAGATCTAAGGGCCGGTCGGGCCTGATTTCTTTGCAGGCATGGAGGACGAGATTTGCCCGTACGCCACTTTCCACTTGCTGGGCTTCAGAGAAGAGATGGACCCCAACAAGGCCATGAACTTCCAGACCTTCCCCCACCAAAACGGCCACGGGGGACACGCACATTCAAGAAACAGCTCGCAGTCTATGGTAATTTCAATTCCACATATTAAGAAAAATTAAAATCAATACTAGTTTTTTTATCTATAAATTTGGCAACTTCCATTCTTGTTGCAGCCACGTGCCAATGGTAGATACAGTAGGGTCAACGGACCAAACTCGGCCTTTTCGCCCGAGTACGATGATCCGGCCAACTGCGAGCCCGAGGAAGACCAGTACGGCAGCCAATACGGTCCGTACGGAGCCCCCTATGACCACTATGGTAGCCGGAACTCGGTCAGCCGCCGTAGTGTTGGTGAGTAATGTTTGCAAATATTTATTTTGGTAAATTTACTGGATTTGACTTTTTCAAATAATTTAAAATAAATGGAATGAAAAAGTCTTAGAATCGATGATATTTTTTAAAATAATAAGGAATGTTATTTCACAAAGAAATTTGCCATTGAAAAAGGTAAAAATTTTAAGAATAAAAACTGACTAAAACAGGCTATTTGTTCTTCAAATTACTTTTATTCATTAAATAAAATCGTTTTTCCACACACAAAATCTTGTTACAGTTAAAATCACTGCTTATCATAAGGTTATGTGATTAAAGATTAAAAATGCTTTATTGGCGAGATTTTCTTGTTTGTTTCTCAAAGATACAATCTTAAATTATAAGCTTCTTATCAGTGTTGATGTTGATTACTTTCGACACATATCTGCACACTCAAATTTTTACGTTACAGAGAGATAAAGCCGTCTCTACCAAAATCCTAAATTTTATAATATTTTACTGAATAGTACAGTAAGCTGACAAAATAAAATTTAATTGAACGTTTAAAGAAAATTACCATTTTAATATTTAAATTTTTTTATTTTAATTGATTTTATTCGACATTTATTTTTAAATACAACAATTAACTTTATATCATATGGCACTTCTTTTAAAATTGTTTTTTCGTAAATTTTTTGTTAGGCTCTGCTCGAAACTTGCCGATGAATGGAAGTCCTGAGCCGCCTCCACCGCCTCCGCGCAACCACGACAATTCCTTCAATGAAAGCAAGGACAGCAACGAGATCTCCGAAGCCGAGTGTGATCGTGATCAGCTAGTGAACAGAAGTTACGGAGGTAGGGTCGAAGACGACTACGATTCAAATTAATCACATGAGCAGCGATTAGAAAAAAATTGCAGATATTTAGTTGAGATTTATTCCATTGGAGAAAATGAGATCCAGGGCTTTTGATGGCGAAATACATTTAATTAACATAATATTTATATTTCAATGAATTGTATGCTGTAGATTTCAAATATTATACTATATATTTAGAATAAGAGATGTAAGGTGAGTAAAAGGCCCTGAAGTTTTTGAGATCTCACAAAAAACACTATTATGAGAAAAAAAAATCAGCACACCTTGAATCAAAATGTAAAATGCCAAAAATTGTCTAAATTTATTGGCAATTGAGCCAAATTGCCCCAACTTTTTTTTTTAAATTCCGCAACACTCTTTTGTGCTGTTTTACTTTTTTTCTGTTAATGCGTACAAAAACTATATTTGTGCAAGAGGTAAGAGACACTGAAAAACTCACCTCTCACCGATACCACACACCCGCCTTTGATTTTTAGTTTCTCTCGATTTTAATACAGATTTATTTTCATCCTCCTGACTTTTGAGTGTTTTTAGACTTTTTAGTTAGATTCTGCCGCATGGATTTTAGTGTGGTTTTCAAAATTGCGTTTCCCATTCAATGTGCCCTCCAAAAGGCGGCGTTTTCTTCTGAAAATTTTTAAGAGCGCCTGCAGCTTTAGATTCATTAGGTTGCGCGTATTTATACAATATTCCTTTTTACCGCATGTTGTTTTCTTTTATATAGTTTTTCCTCTCTCTTATTAATTAAACCATTTCCTGTGTGACTAATTTTTTTTATTTGCAACGAAACGATAAAAAAATATTGAGAGCGCAGGCGGGGGTTTTGCGACCAAAAATTACAAACCGTCCTGCGGGCACTGAATTTCTCAAGCCGAGCAAAAAGTTTCGGAATAAGCAAAATTTTTTTTGGACTTTCTGATGGCTGCGTGCTCGTTGTTTGTGTGTAACTTGGAGTATTTTGCTGCTTTCAGTTAAGGGAAACTCCAGGGAGGGAATGTCGACTGAGGAGATGCGAAAGCTCATTGAGAGGTCAGTTGCAATGACTACTCATCCAAAGTTACAAGTGCATGAATTTCGAATAACCTCGACTGAAAAAAAAAAATTAAACCATTTGTCGACATTTAATGAAAAAAAAAACTCACTCAGTCTCATCCTCCATTAAAATTATAATAGCTTGGCCCCTTACCAGTGTTTTCAACAAATAGATTTTACTGATTTTGGTTAACTTGGTTGTGCACAGAGACACGTTAGAGTAGCATAACAAAGTGCCCTCCCCGACCGTGCCCCCTCAGAAATCATGCATCTCCATTATCAAACCTCGTGATCACACTCTTTAACTAATCAACCCTTTCTCTTTCCCTTTTCTCGTTTTGCCTGATTGGGATTTGGTATGAAGGAAACCGTAAGTTGATAAGAAAAAACTAACTCGTGATATATGTTGGTTATTCTGACGCTTTGTGTGTGCCTCCTTACGTATGCTTCTCTCACTACACCTTGCCCTAGACAACACTGATAAAATATAAACCTATGTGCAATCCCGCGCACCACATGACTGTTCCACCGATCCTCTTGCCAAATGACGCTGCGCAGAACAATATTTTGTTTTTTACTCACACATTCATTTTACGCTCTGACACAATTTTTTGTTCGTTTGAACTAATAAAATTTTTTGGAGGTGCTGTTTTAATTAAAATCTGCAGCTATAATAGATATGGAATTAATTTTTTGTTTCTAAATAATTGGGTGCTCCTGCTCATAATTGAGTAAATAGTATTTCAATTCTAAAAAAAATGAGAAATATATGCCTTTTTTAAATGAAGATTATTCAGATTTTTAAATTTACCGATTCTATATGTATTATAGTGTTATTTATAACTGTCAAATTAACCTAAAAAGTTAAAATTTTGGCAGCCGAAAGTGTAAGATACACATAAATTTATAAAAAAACGCCATAAACAAAATTTATTTTTTATATCTGAAAAAAATCACAATATTATAATAAGCAACATTTTATTTCAAGGAATAATGAAAACAATAATTCGTTATAATAATAAAAAAAATCATGCATTTAATATTAAATTATGTAACTTTAGTTTAATAGTTGTAACTTTATTCTGTTCTTATTTTTTAATACTTTTTAAAAAGCAACCCTTAATTGCGTTTTTAAATATTATGATACAGAGGCCAGCTAATTTTGTTTCATATGAATTCATCCTACATAATTTTTAATTTGTCTGAAAAGAAGTCATTATTTACACCTAAATCGCTCTAATAATAGTCCATTTATGAATTTTCCTTCCTCGTTGATTAACTCCACAGAAGCACCTTTTTGTCCTAAAATGTTCGCTTCTATAATTTGACGCTGCAGTTCATTTATTTTTATTTTTTTTTATTCAAACAAAATTAAAAATGTTTAATTCCACATTTTTCTAATTGGAATCTTTCTCCACCCTTCTGTCCTCACAGAAACGAAGCCGGAGGATTCCAACAACAGCAACACAACGGAGGAAACCTCGGACTCAGCACAACCTACGATACTGTGGCAGTGTAACCTGTAAACGGAGAAAAATCAACCCGTTCAACTCACTCGAACACACACACCACTGAATATTAAGTAAAGTAAAAACGCAGATGCCAAATTACTCAACGTGTATTAAAAAAAAGGGACAACATTTATTGCGGTTGATTTTTCTACGATCAGGACTGCAATTTGCGTGGCGCTTACTCTTATCGTTATCTCACCGACGGGGAACTGATAATTATGCATTTCCTCTTGTCGTGCCATAAACACACACACACACACACAATTCACAAAAATTAAATATACGAGATCAGAGCACTCTGACCCGTCGTGTCGAGCAAAAGAGCACGCGCCCGCGGAAAATCCTCTCTTTTTTATGACCGAGTCATTTAAGCTAATTAATTGTACGATTAACTAATTATAATATATTCACACGAACACACACGCTAAATCTACTTGTAGCGGGTAGGGACGAAAAAGACGAGAAGCGCATCTTGAGAAGCATGAAAATAAAACGAAGTCGGTGTTTTTTATCGGGGAGATTAATAGATAGCGACGCGAACACGGTGGGTGTTTTTTTTGTAAGAAGGGCGAATATTGTGTTGGCGGGGACATGAAGGGTTAGGGACAGAACTGCGGTCAAGGGAGGTTCGGGATAACTCGCTGAGGGTGAAGCCGTTTCCGGATGAAAATTGAATTTCCCCCTGTATTTTTGAGTATTTGTTTATTTTTTCTAAATGTGATAAAATGAAATTTATTTTTTCCCGTAAATTTTCTCGGATCAAAGGAGCATTTTGATATAACATAATATTTATTTATGTTGCCAGACAGAAGTGATTGTGTTCTTGTGAGAGACGGGGAAATTCAATTTGCGTGTTGGAACGGCAAAAGCTCAGGCATTAAAATTATACTCATCATAGACGTATAATATTAATATGAAAAATGATGTCGTCTTTGCTTCAATGTATTTTAAATGTTAAGAGTAAAAATCATGTCCAACGAACTGGTTTCCAATCACGCAGCGTCATCTAATCTATAAAAAGCTGCAGCAGAAAAAAATCATATGAAATTTTCTCCCCCGAGTTGAAGTCAAGTTTTAATTTTTTTTCCAAGTAATAAGCGCGCGTCTTTGAATTCGCCCAAATATAGCTTCTCTTATTAGTTTTTAATTTTCAAATAATATAATTTTTTTACTAATTTCATTTGTCTTCTTCTTAAGAGCTCAAATTTTAAATAATATATATTATAAAAGTGTAATATGTGATATTTTGTGGGTGTGAAAACATAATATTGATTGATTGATTGGTCTTTGATACCTGCCACTTTACCTAATTCACACCACACACGCCGTTTGGGAAATTTCAATTCAATTCTCATTTCCGATTATTTCTCTTTCACAAATAATAAAAATCTCTCACCCGCGGCTGCGATTTGAAATCACGGCTGCTCAAACAAACACTGTCTCCTCAAATTTCAGCGAAAATGATAAGAAAGTTCATTACTACCTAGATTTAGTGTGTTGATTGCTAAGAAAATACATGTTCTCCATTCAAGTTTTTAAGTGTAAGCTTCGAAATGCTCCATTGAAGGAAATTTCTGTTCGGCGACAAAATAATCGTGACTACTTTGTGTGATTTTGCTACAAAGGGAATCCTTGTCGGGAAAACTAACCAAATAAAAACCAGATTGAACTACTAATCGATTCTTTGATCGAACATGCAAGGATTCCCCCTTTATTGTATTTAACTCTGCATTTCTGTCAAAATGAGAAATAAATGATAATTACATTCTATCACTCTATAGGATGAAAAATAATTACACACTCCAATAATCTAGCTTAAATTAACGCTGCGTAAAGTATATATTAAGAGCAGATTTGAGCGGAAACATTGTGCTAATCATTTGTAGGTCTACGTTGAATGCAGGAAAAATTAAGCAAAAATGAAAAAAATATGACCAAACAGGAAGAATATTAGTACTGAATAATACATGCTATTATATCCAAACTCAAGCGAAATCACATTAATATGGAAATTATCAAACTCTCCTGAAACCTCTGTGTCATTGAATGTGGGCCTGATCGCAAAGAAGAATAATGTATTAGGTGCTGATATGACTAATTAATTAACTGTCTCTATTCAAGCAAGCTTTTTCTGTAAATATACGACTTTTTGATTGCAATGGATTAGGCCACTTAATTAAACCACTCTTTTATGAAATAAGAATGCAACCAAATCATATTAAATTTAGCAATTAGGCAAGAATTTTCCTCATCCACTTAGTTTGGATAATCAACTTGATTAATTTTTGTAACATGTGCGTTCTTCCTTTTCAAATATTTAAATATCTGACCGTCGCTTTGTGTAAATTCAATAATTTGTTTGAGGTCAGTGCAAGAAAGTGATTTTGTAATATTGATTTGAGAAGAATTATTTTTAGAGCAGATGTCTGTCAATCCAAGTGAACTTTGGCAGGGTCAACCGATCATTACCAAATTTTACAGGGTGATAGACCACGTTAAGAGGTTTCCAAACATATATAGGTATACCCCAATATATCAAAGTTTCCGGGTTTTACGGGCCATTCAAATTTGGATTTTGAAAATTTTTAAACGTCTGTATCTCGGCTTCCCGTGGTCGTAGAACAAAAAACTTGAGTGCTTTGGAATCCTCTTGTTGCCCTCTACAACTCTGCTGTGAGGTGCAAAATAGTAGGTCACAGGTCAAGGTCACTTCCGGTGACCTCGTGACCTTTGACCTCAAATTTGAGGGTGAGCCGTCACTTTTTTCAAAATTCTGAGATAGCCAATTTGTAGATCGCAAAATTTTACGTAGTATAAGAGAATAAAAAAAACGGGACCCCTCTTAGTTTTTTTAATTTAAAAATAAAACCAATAAAAAACGTGGTTTTCCGAGCTCTGAACTTGGAAAAATAACTTTGAAGCTCTGTAACTTTTTATGTGTTAGAGATAGGTAAATTGTTTCAATGACAAAAAGTGTTTATTTTTAGACGGGCTATCCAACCATGTAAGACACATACTGATCAGGTCACAAAAGGTCATTGACCCTGGTGACCTGTGACCTTGAAATTATTTTTTATGCAAGTATGATACATCGTTGGAAAGAGGACATTAAGAGGATCATTTTGGTAACCGGAATTTTGTAGTAGCTTAAAGAGGAACGAAGTTATTAACGTTTAAATGTTATCCATAATTAATATTTTTAGTTTTTAATTTAAAAAACTGCAATAACTCCGTTTCTCTTTGAGCTACTACAAAATCCGGTTACCAAAATGATTCTCTTAATGTCCTCTTTCCAACGATGTATCATACTTGCATAAAAAATAATTTCAAGGTCACAGGTCACCAGGGTCAATGACCTTTTGTGACCTGATCAGTATGTGTCTTACATGGTTGGATAGCCCGTCTAAAAATAAACACTTTTTGTCATTGAAACAATTTACCTATCTCTAACACATAAAAAGTTACAGAGCTTCAAAGTTATTTTTCCAAGTTCAGAGCTCGGAAAACCACGTTTTTTATTGGTTTTATTTTTAAATTAAAAAAACTAAGAGGGGTCCCGTTTTTTTTATTCTCTTATACTACGTAAAATTTTGCGATCTACAAATTGGCTATCTCAGAATTTTGAAAAAAGTGACGGCTCACCCTCAAATTTGAGGTCAAAGGTCACGAGGTCACCGGAAGTGACCTTGACCTGTGACCTACTATTTTGCACTTCACAGCAAAGTTGTAGAGGGCAACAAGAGGATTCCAAAGCACTCAAGTTTTTTGTTCTACGACCACGGGAAGCCGAGATACAGACGTTTAAAAATTTTCAAAATCCAAATTTGAATGGCCCGTAAAACCCGGAAATTTTGAGATATTGGGGTAAACCTATATATGTTTGGAAACCTCTTAACGTGGTCTATCACCCTGTAAAATTTGGTAATGATCGGTTGACCCTGCCAAAGTTCACTTGGATTGACAGACATCTGCTCTTTATCGTGTAATTATTAATATGAAAAATGAATTATGTCTCTGCAACTGGAACACGTTTTTGTACATGATTTTCAAAACCACTTCTATTGTTTAGGATGTGTAATTAAACAAAGTGTACCAAAGTTGTAGGTTGATTATTTGTCTCATTGAATAAAAAAAATACCTTAATTAACATCTGTATTGTAATTTGGCAACAAAACACACATTGAAAAATAAAATCATTAAATTAAATACCATTTCCAATAGTTATTATCATTGTTTATTCTTCACAAAGTAGTCTCATACATGAAATCAAGAAAAAGTTTGAAGAAACGGCAGCACCTCTGAAGAAAAAGTCGCTAAAACGCGTAGCCTCAAGAGAAGTCCGCGCCGATATAGGCCGCAAGCTAACTATCACTTATCACAGATAAAATAGAATCACTAAAATTGCTGCTGCCATACAAAATTTTTGCGCAAGGAAGGGAATTGTTGTGCAGAACAGTCTTTCAGGGCAGTTAGTTAATATCAATTTTCTCCCTCTCTCTAACTCTCTCTGGCTTAGTTAGAAAAATAAAAACTTAATTGAATTATAAATACTAAATACTAAACTTGAATGAAAAATGAAGGGCAACAGTGTATTTCAAAAAATTTTATATTGTCAATGAGTTACATCACTATAAATTTTAATATTGATTAAAAGAAAATAAATAATAAAGCTGGCTGATTAAAATAGATCATAGGACACGGAAATAGATTGCAAACCAAACTAAAGCTCCTGTAAAATTAAGTCATGAACCAGAATTTAAAAAAATCACCTTTGATTATACGCATTTTTCAAGTCCCACCAAATTTAGGCGCGGCCGCTGGTTTACTTGCGTCGACTTGATTTGATAGTTTTTTATTTGGTTTGAGCGCTTGGCTTTGTTCGAACAGGCACAATGAGGAACAGTAACGCCACTTGGGACCCGCGCCGACATATGTACGAGGAGCTGTCCATGAACCCACACCAGGCTCGGAGAATGATGCCTGGCCAACAGCCAGGCTCAGACGAGAACGTCCACCAAAGAGGTGTGTTGGCACACTAAGCTGCCTTGCTCCAGTCTCAAAGCATGGACACTGATTTGGCAAAAGCTTTTCCAAATTTCGCAATCTCGGAAAAACACAATGTTGTTCTCTCACACGGACACCAGGCGATTAGCTAAACAACTAACAAAAGCGAAAAAACTAATTTCCAAATGAACACTTAAAAATTTTAATTGTTATTAATAATCAAAATATAAAAATAAAGTTTCAAAAAGTTAGTTTTTTCGCTTCCAACTCTCTTGGTGTTCCTGACTATTTGGCTGTTAAAGTATCAAAATTCTATCAAATAAGGCTTAATTTTAAGAAATCTGAAACTCCCCTCTTTGAGTGAGTAGATGGTGTGTGGAATCAGGTAAGTACTCTCTGTGCAAAGGAAAACTAGCCAAAGTATGCAACCTCTTTGAAAATATCCACTAACATAATTTGGGCAGTTTTCCACCTTTATAAAAAAACTGGTTTGGGAAAATGAGATTAAATATAATTACATAGTTTTCCACATTCTTCTTCTCATCCACACTGTCTTCTTATTTGAGTTAAGGATTTGTTTGCATGACCTTATCACACTACACAAATAGTTGATTGTTCTTTGGAAGTGTGATTTTGTGCCAAATCAAAGCGACCAAATCAAAGAAACTAAGCCGGAGGATTCCAGCAACAGCAACACAACTGAGACAACATCGGACTCAGGTACTTTTGAAAAGCAATCCTCAAAATAAAGCGCCTCGCTATATTATTTTCATTTTGCAGGAATAATTTGTGAAAAGTCCTGGATTTTGAAAAAATTTTCAATCATACCTGTTTCGTTTTAGTCCAAGAGGCTTAGGACAAACGAAACAGGCATTGGCAAAATATGATAAAATTCTGGTTTATTTAAAAAGGAAACCTAAATTTAAAGCGCCTCGCTAGATTATTTTCATTTTGCAGGAATAATTTGTGAAATCCTGGATTTTTAAAAAATTTTCAATCATACCTGTTTCGTTTTAGTCCAAGAGGCTTAGGACAAACGAAACAGGTATTTGCAAAATATGATAAAATTCTGGTTTATTTAAAAAGGAAACCTAAATTTAAAGCGCTTTGCTATATTATTTTCATTTTGCAGGAATAATAGTTAATAGTCCTGAATTTGAAAAAAAAAAAATCATTTGTACCTGTTTCGTTTTAGTCCAAGAGGCTTAGGACAAACGAAACAGGTATTTGCAAAATTTGATAAAATTCTGGTTTATTTAAAAAGGAAACCTAAATTTAAAGCGCCTCGCTATATTATTTTCATTTTGCAGGAATAATTTGTGAAAAGTCCTGAATTTTGAAAAAATTTTCAATCATACCTGTTTCGATTTAGTCCAAGAGGCTTAGGACAAACGAAACAGGTATTTGCAAAATTTGATAAAATTCTGGTTTATTTAAAAAGGAAACCTAAATTTAAAGCGCCTCGCTATATTATTTTCATTTTGCAGGAATAATTTGTGAAAAGTCCTAAATTTTGAAAAAATTTTCAATCATACCTGTTTCGATTTAGTCCAAGAGGCTTAGGACAAACGAAACAGGTATTTGCAAAATTTGATAAAATTCTGGTTTATTTAAAAAGGAAACCTAAATTTAAAGCGCCTCGCTATATTATTTTCATTTTGCAGGAATAATTTGTGAAAAGTCCTGAATTTTGAAAAAATTTTCAATCATACCTGTTTCGTTTTAGTCCAAGAGGCTTAGGACAAACGAAACAGGTATTTGCAAAATTTGATAAAATTCTGGTTTATTTAAAAAGGAAACCTAAATTTAAAGCGCCTCGCTATATTATTTTCATTTTGCAGGAATAATTTGTGAAAAGTCCTGAATTTTGAAAAATTTTTCAATCATACCTGTTTCGATTTAGTCCAAGAGGCTTAGGACAAACGAAACAGGTATTTGCAAAATTTGATAAAATTCTGGTTTATTTAAAAAGGAAACCTAAATTTAAAGCGCCTCGCTATATTATTTTCATTTTGCAGGAATAATTTGTGAAAAGTCCTGGATTTTGAAAAATTTTCAATCATACCTGTTTCGTTTTAGTCCAAGAGGCTTAGGACAAACGAAACAGGTATTTGCAAAATTTGATAAAATTCTGGTTTATTTAAAAAGGAAACCTAAATTTAAAGCGCTTTGCTATATTATTTTCATTTTGCAGGAATAATTGTTAATGGTCCTGAATTTGAAAAAAAAAATCATTTGTACCTGTTTCGTTTTAGTCCAAGAGGCTTAGGACAAACGAAACAGGTATTTGCAAAATTTGATAAAATTCTGGTTTATTTAAAAAGGAAACCTAAATTTAAAGCGCTTTGCTATATTATTTTCATTTTGCAGGAATAATTGTTAATGGTCCTGAATTTGAAAAAAAAAATCATTTGTACCTGTTTCGTTTTAGTCCAAGAGGCTTAGGACAAACGAAACAGGTATTTGCAAAATTTGATAAAATTCTGGTTTATTTAAAAAGGAAACCTAAATTTAAAGCGCCTCGCTATATTATTTTCATTTTGCAGGAATAATTTGTGAAAAGTCCTGAATTTTGAAAAAATTTTCAATCATACCTGTTTCGTTTTAGTCCAAGAGGCTTAGGACAAACGAAACAGGTATTTGCAAAATTTGATAAAATTCTGGTTTATTTAAAAAGGAAACCTAAATTTAAAGCGCCTCGCTATATTATTTTCATTTTGCAGGAATAATAGTTAATAGTCCTGAATTTGAAAAAAAAAATCATTTGTACCTGTTTCGTTTTAGTCCAAGAGCCTTTGGACAAACGAAACAGGTATTTGCAAAATTTGATAAAATTCTGGTTTAATTAAAAAGGAAACCTAAATTTAAAGCGCCTCGCTATATTATTTTCATTTTGCAGGAATAATTTGTGAAAAATCCTGGATTTTTAAAAAATTTTCAATCATATCTGTTTCGTTTTAGTCCAAGAGGCTTAGGACAAACGAAACAGGTATTTGCAAAATATGATAAAATTCTGGTTTATTTAAAAAGGAAACCTAAATTTAAAGCGCTTTGCTATATTATTTTCATTTTGCAGGAATAATAGTTAATAGTCCTGAATTTGAAAAAAAAAAATCATTTGTACCTGTTTCGTTTTAGTCCAAGAGCCTTTGGACAAACGAAACAGGTATTTGCAAAATTTGATAAAATTCTGGTTTATTTAAAAAGGAAACCTAAATTTAAAGCGCTTTGCTATATTATTTTCATTTTGCAGGAATAATTTGTGAAAAGTCCTGGATTTTGAAAAATTTTTCAATCATACCTGTTTCGTTTTAGTCCAAGAGGCTTAGGACAAACGAAACAGGTATTTGCAAAATTTGATAAAATTCTGGTTTATTTAAAAAGGAAACCTAAATTTAAAGCGCCTCGCTATATTATTTTCATTTTGCAGGAATAATTTGTGAAAAGTCCTGAATTTTGAAAAATTTTTCAATCATACCTGTTTCGATTTAGTCCAAGAGGCTTAGGACAAACGAAACAGGTATTGGCAAAATATGATAAAATTCTGGTTTATTTAAAAAGGAAACCTAAATTTAAAGCGCCTCGCTATATTATTTTCATTTTGCAGGAATAATTTGTGAAAAGTCCTGAATTTTGAAAAAGTTTTCAATCATACCTGTTTCGTTTAAGTCCAAGAGGCTTAGGACAAACGAAACAGGTATTTGCAAAATTTGATAAAATTCTGGTTTATTTAAAAAGGAAACCTAAATTTAAAGCGCCTCGCTATATTATTTTCATTTTGCAGGAATAATTTGTGAAAAGTCCTGAATTTTGAAAAAATTTTCAATCATACCTGTTTCGTTTTAGTCCAAGAGGCTTAGGACAAACGAAACAGGTATTTGCAAAATTTGATAAAATTCTGGTTTATTTAAAAAGGAAACCTAAATTTAAAGCGCCTCGCTATATTATTTTCATTTTGCAGGAATAATTTGTGAAAAGTCCTGAATTTTGAAAAATTTTTCAATCATACCTGTTTCGATTTAGTCCAAGAGGCTTAGGACAAACGAAACAGGTATTGGCAAAATATGATAAAATTCTGGTTTATTTAAAAAGGAAACCTAAATTTAAAGCGCCTCGCTATATTATTTTCATTTTGCA